TTGAAAAAAATCATGATTTTTAGAAAAAAAAATGGTTTCTTAAAAAAATTTCTTTGTTGCTAAAAAATGCATTTGTTAATTAACAATCGTTATTGCGAATGTATCCATATTACTGTTCACTACGTTTTTTTTTCATCTTGGCACTCTTGTGGGAAAAACCACTCTTCCGTATTCAAAATTATAATACTTCATGAAGATAATGTAAAAAAGTCATAGATTACAAAACTTGAAAAAACGTATATTTAATGAACCTGAAAAACAGAAAACCCTGTTCATTTGGTAACATTTTGGATAAGCTGCACCCTCTGATTTTAAAACAAATAAGTCACTAGTATTCAACCTCGAGATGAAGGGATATCACCAAAAACACATCCATTGGTAAACTAAGTTTTTTATAGGAAATATGTGTTTTAAAAGAAGTGAAATAATATGTGAACCACCACGTAGTAACGGTTACATCCATTAATGAATACTTGTATCTTCCTGAAGTTTGTATTGTGCAAACAGAAGGCTGAGAAGTTGCAGTTTTCGAAACTCCGGAAAGCTGTAACTCTGAAAATAAGGATTCGTGATCTGCATGTAGTATTCACATTCAATTTTATTTTCAATATCGGAGTATGCAGCTCGTCTAGAATTTCAATTTCACCAAATAATCTATGGGGGATCTTTAGATCGAAGGAAGGCATAAGAAGGATATCCTAATTTCAATCAACTGTCTAGTGAATCTTTCATTGATGAAAACAGTGAGAAAATCCTTGACATTTGACCGAACTTGGCGTCTTTTTTTTGATCATGGCTTTCCTGGACTCTTTCATTGGGACAATTGGACTATGGTTTCGATGCCATAACTATATACTCATGATTTGTAACCAGTTATGACCGTTTTGAACAAATTTGGATCGCCGTGGATGTCATTCAACAATTCCTGAGCGATGCTCAGGTTGGTCAGAATTCAGCAATTTTGGAACGAACTTCGTTTCATAATCATCGAAAAAATTGCATTGCATGAACTAACCGATATATCGGCATCCTCAGCAACTCTAATAATGAATCGACAATTATCCATAACAATTTCCTTACATTTCTGTCGTCGTCATTCACATATTCTCGACCTTCTGTGAAAAGTTTGTACCACTTGTAAACATTTTTCTGACTCCAATACGAGAGTACAATCACCGTTTTTTACACAATATTTAATGCAAATTCTTTGATTCATTTTTTTTCGATAGCAGAAAATTGTCAAACAAAGACAGATAATATTTATCCAAACTATATATGAAAAATCTTTTATTCATACTAGCACTTTTGTAGAAACCTAAAGCTTCTCATAATTTTTTAAAATTTTATACGGAAGTGGCCGCCATTAATTTAGAATACACTTATATACTAAATGAGCCAATACCTACCTGTTGTCAAACACGTAATGATTAGTTTGAACTGGAGAAAATAGAAAAATATATTTATAAGATGTGGTTTCTCCTAATTGTTATTATCAAAATAATCTAGCACTTGAAGGGCCGATCTGCTAATGAAGTTGTACTCATGGTTTCTTTTTTCCGGAAATCAGGCCGCAAATGTATCACATGTCCTTGGAACAACTTTATTACATTCTCCGTAAATAATAAATGAATTTAAAAAATCTTTGTTTGTGAAATTTGATCGTTCCGTCATGATTCATTATTGACAATTTGCAAATGACAAGTAGTGACATAATTTTATCAACTGATTGTTTTCTAACGCCGCACCGTCGTGGCCAAATGACAGTATTTAGAAACCGTATAGTAGGTATTTTGTCCATAGAAGAATATTTAATTGCAAATATTTCAAAAACTACTAATTTTCANTGTTTTCTTGCCGACGTTTCGAATTTGATTAAATTCTTTTTCAAGGCTCGAAAAGTAGTTTTTTCTTGTTGATAATATTACTATTTTGAAAATCATCATCATATTAGATACTTATTTAAAAAAATAAAAAACATTGCAACAACCGAATTTCCGAGACAACACCAACACAAAACGACATGAAACAAACTAGTTACCAATCTTATTGGCATTGAGTAGCGTTGAACTAAGTGGAAGACAAATTAACTTTTTTAAATGTCATTGTCCATAAAATAATACTTACCACGATATTTCAGTGTCTTCAGTTATTTCATATAATTCTGCAATTAGCGTCGCTCCAGAATTCTCGACAGTCGACACACATTGTGATCCTTCATCTCGAAATCGTAGAGGGTGATTTTCTTGGGTAGTGACTCCTGGAAAATTTTTGATGAAAGATTATATTCACAAAAACTCGAAAATTTCAAATTTGTTTTCATCAAAACGTGTTCAACAATACAAACATAATTTAGACACTACGAACCAATTATAGCAAACAAACGTCAAAATGGGTCATTTGAGAAGGATAATCTGAATGAATGAATAATTCAGGTCAGACTGACAGTCAGACATCATCTTTATAATTTTTAAACTAGAGTCCTTACAATGGTGGTCACTTTCAGAAGGTGTGTATTTCAGAACAATTCCCTTAATCGTCTTCCTATCTAGATATCACTACTTCTGTTACAGTTGTATAATGATGTAATCTGAGTTGAACATTAAATGTTCATTATCAATAATCAAACATGTACATTTAAAAAAGTAAATTTTCATTAACGACGCATCATTGTTGCTATCAACCACATTGTTGACTGGCCCTCTTGATCCTAAGTTACACTATCGTGATATTTTCCTCTGGTTCTATTGTCCATAACAAATATATTTTCAACCCACCTATTCTAGTTTTAACAATGTTAGTGTTAATGTTGGTGTCATGGGAAGGCGCAGGAATATTGCTTTGTCGAAAGGGGTATAACATCAGGTTCTGGCTCAATGTGTTTCTTGGTCTCAATAAACTCATCAAATTGAGAATGTTTTGCATAAAGAGATCAGGAGAAAATTTAATGAATGAAAAGTTTCTCCGATAAACTTTTCCAAAATTGTCCTTTATCAAATACGAACAAGGATATTCAGAATTGCCTATTATTTTCCCTGGAACCCAATGTTTTTCTTTCCAACACTGTTCCCTTTTTTTTTGAAAATAGATCTTGTCACAGATTGTTTATCATATTATTTGTAAGTGAACTCAGTTTTTCAAAATCAATATCTGGTTTTTTTCAATAAAAGGTTTTTTAATACAAGTAAGGTAGTTCGCAAAAGTCTTTGATTCAGCGGTTCTGACGGTGATAAATTTATTCCAACAAGTGGAGTAGTTCTAAATTCTGATAATGCTCTATCAAAATCAGTATCTGTTTCACTACTTTCACGTAGAATATTCTTGCAAATACCAACTGAACGCTCAGCCAAGCCATTAGACTAAGGATATTTTGGACTTGAGGTAACTATGTCAAAATCCCAATTCCATGCAAAATTTTCAAACTCCACACTATTGAAGGGCATACTGTCTGAAACAAATATTGTACGGACTCCATGTTCTGAAAATATAATTTTGAGTTTGTTGATAGCCTTTTCAGCGGTTTCAAAATCAATTTCAACCAAGTCAATCCAAAGGCTGAAATATGGAGAGTGGACGACATAAGTAAATTTGAAATACCAAATTTTAATAGTGTATAACGAATCCTACTTTATTCAGAACGACGCGTCGGTGTGGTTGTCTACATAAAAAATGATCTAGATTACATAACCGATGTTGAACATTTTAGTGAAACTGAAACTTTAGAATTTCTGTATACATTAGAGAACACGTCATTCATACTAACGACATGCTACCGACATGCTAAGAGAATTAGAGAACTACTTCACGCAACAAGCTAGTGACGATGTGAAAATTTTCATAGGTGATATCCACATCAATATCCTGTATACCACTGNATTATTCCAAGTATGAAATATCATTAGACAACTCTCATGAACCAATTGGAAAGACATATAACAAAAGTTGTAGGGAAGCTAGGAGAAGTTTAATTAAAAAGAAAGTCACAGGGATCGAAGGAGATTTTCAATGATATGAAATTGTTTATAGATTAATTAATGAAGTTGAACAGGCAAGTAAAAATTTAGGTTTGTGGCTTGACACCGAATCTAGATTCACCTCTTTCCATATTTTGAGACAGTTGAATCCTTACACTTTTATTGCCTAAAAACTTGAAACTCAGCCGTTGCGAGTTTCTGATACTCTCAAGACTGGCCTACTGTGATTACATTTACGGACCATATTCTGCGTCTTCAGAAAGTAAAACAAATTTGTATTCCATTTTCATATGGAATCCGGTTGGTTGAAAATGAATGCTCTTAGAGAACTGCACCTTCTTATTCGCTCATGAAATTTTGCAAACCGGACCTCCACCTTATCTGCGTGATAGACTCATTTCTCTATCTCTCAGTGATACTAGTCGCAATCGACTCCGTTCATATCAAATCATAATTCGACTATTCATACACATACTCCCTCAAATATGGCAGCTAAATTGTAGAACACCTCATCTGTAGATTTCAAACAGTTACCCCTGAAAAAACTTTTGAAAAATACTCAAAGATCTAATCCCAATAAGGCAGTAATTTAAAAGTGTATCACTTTATCAGGCTATCATAAAGGTTTGGATTTCCTAGATCTTGTTTTGACATATCACGATTGTAGGATTGTATTATTCATTCATGATACCTTGCACGTTTTGTATTGTTTTGAAATGACAGGTTTAAAAGCAGCTCTTAAAACTGAACCTCGCCCATTTTTCATTTTATCATTTTATTGTTTATTTTTATTATTATGAGTAAAAACCTGTTATTATTAAAGGTAAAGAGGTTTTAGAGTTCCACTAATTACGACACGAATATAAAATTATAGGATCATTCAAATGGTCCAAATTAATCAAAATCCTAAAAAATGTATCTAAAATCCTCACCCATTCGAAGAGAGATCAGAGCATCCCTTGGTATGTTTTCCATTACTAGAAGAACACCTACAACAACTGCTAACGTTCTGGCCCATATCACAATTCACAAACCATCAGTTCCTTCAAATCAATTATCACATGTTTTATGCACTGGCTTTAGTGTCCCGCTTCTCGAATGTTATGACAGCCTACTGTTTTCTCACTAAATACTTTATAAAAAGATATTATTATAATCTCAGTGAGGAAGCGTTAGTACGCTGTGCGCTAGCAAAACAATCAGAAAAGCTGTGAATGAACGTTACGGGTTGATATTTTTCAGCTCCGTTGTCATATCTGTCAGCGGAATGAAACTTTGAAGCAGCTGTTACTGATAAAATAAAAACCACTCGAGCTGCACGCGGCCACATCAACGACTGGCAGAAAACTTGGAAAACACGTTCAAAGTTTCAAAGTTGCTGGGCTTATTTCCGAAAGTATTTTTATCGGTCGCCAAGAAACGTCACTTGTTGATGCTGGATATGGCAAACATCAAAGTCACAGTGCACCTAGAAATATGTATATGATCCACAGTGTTCGTTTTAGATAAATGTGAATTACTAAAGGTATTTAATAATTACCGGATATCTGCTACGGAACATTCGAGCATAAGGTTATTCTTAAAATATCTGGCAGCGTAAATTATGTTCTATTTTAGTTGTCAAACTATGACGCGAGAATTTTTTCATCACACTTTGTCAATGAGAATTCATTCTTGGACAATGTATCATTCCCAATCCACAACCTATCCTTCGTGAGTTGCATGCAAAACAAAGCGCACTAACTCTGTCTTGAAAACATATAACTTATTATGTGGATTAGCGAATACTGTACGAATAATATCTCACATGAACATTTATTACAATTTAGATCAGTATTCTGGCACTTTGTCAAATAACCACCATTTTCTCGTATTTCAAATCATTCGAAATTATTTCTATACAGTTAAAAAGCACATACGGAAGACTTTGTAGGCACAAAAACTATAACATGATTTCGAGAGAGGTATTCATCCTGTTTTCTATAAATAACATCAAAACAAGATCACGCATTTATAATGAACAAATAAATAGTTATGAGCATTGTCATCACTAACTATAGATTGGATTTGAGCCAAGCAGACTGAACGCATTAAATAATCCAAACATGTCATAACGTGAGTTATAACAGAGTTTCGCGAATTACCTGAAACTTGAAGAAGGTTTAATAGAAATCGAACTCACAATAGATTGATGGATGTAGCCATTACTACGTTGTAGGAAATCATCATGAAAAATGGGAATTAAAACTCGCTATGCTTTTATACCACTTTCAATCGTGTCTAACGTTAGTGCAGTTTCGTCCGACAAGGATACTTTCAATTAATTGAAAATGTACACAGAAACATATACAGAAGGTAATAAATAACAGACGGTCGTTAATGTCCTGAATTTTGTTTACCTGTGACAATGTGGGTACGCTAATCTGAAAATCGACGAGACGACTAGATCAATTTGGTCATTTACTAGGTGATATCCGCAATGCTTATGTTTATGAATTTCCAAGGACTCCAAATAATGGTGTGAAATTTCTATATCTTTTAGATTCGAAAACTTGTGGTAGCCTTCGAAGGAATGATTTGAGAATGTCGAATCATTTTTACCTAGTCTGAAGGACCTTTCATGTTTACCATATCGAAGGAATGATTTGAGAATGTCGAATCATTTTTACCTAGTCTGAAGGACCTTTCATGTTTACCATATCGTTTTGAGAAATTTTGGCCACATTGTCCAATATAAACCCTATTACACTCCGAACACTTAAGCTAATAAACTCCTGATTTCTCCATCTCGTCTACTTCATCTTTGGCATTGGTAAGGAAATCGTGACCTGACATGTGGCCTGAATGCCACTTCAACATTGTTTTTTTCTAAAAAAACCCGCAATTGTTCTTTTACCAAAATTACATTGGGGGTGTACTTGGTTAACGGCCAAATTGAAAAGTTTTTTGTCTAGGATGTAATGGAACATGTTCGGGTTGAAGTTTTTTACTGCAATTGGTTTGATCGAATTCAATTCCTTAATTAAATTCTTTGTGGACATCGATATGCTGGTGAGTCTGTGGATCATGCCATGATAAGCTGCTTATTTACGTTGATGAAGGTGATTAGAATAGTTATTGAGAGTTGTGTCTGTATGGGTTGGTTTGTGGTAAATCACGAGATCATATTTGTAATCGTGGGGTGTGAAAAGTTTATCGAATTAGTGTGAATTTTACGTTTTCGTGAATGTAGTGTGAATTGAAAATATGACTGTTATTGTCGATATATTTCTGAGAAGCAGGCTATAACATCG